GATGTAGGGCGTTGGATAGACTGAGCTCGGAAGCAGAGGACGCTAATGAATTTTGAAGTGGTGTGATCCGTGAGGGAGTACGTGGAAGTGACCTCTGTGAGTTTCTCCGCGAGCTGGGCCGGGGAGAGGGCGCCGGCGTGGGACCAGAGGAGCCGCTGGGTGCGGGGGTCGAGCACCCCGATATGCGGAAGGTGTCCGTCCCCGCCGCTACAGTCCTTGCTGTTGCCCTCCACCGCGTCCAGGTGGTACCGGGCAACGTATGACATGGCCTCGGGGAGGCCGGCACTCATCTGCCAGAAGACGAAGCCCTCCCGGACCAGGGCCTGCACCAGCTCGTCGGCCCACACGTCCCGATTCAGCATGTGCGAGGCGAAGATGTCCTCACGCTGGATGTTCACCAACAGCCACTTGTTGCCTTCCCTTGCCGTGGCGCGGGCATCCGCAAAATTTCCGTGAAAGATCATGTGAAGGGGGGGCTGGAAGAGCTTGCTAATGCCCCCTCCTCCCCCCCTGCCCCAGGGGTCTCCTCCCCGTCCAAACGACCCCCGTGCTTCCGCCCCAAAGTGTCGGAACGGATTTAGTGGGTGGAAGAGCAAGCCCACCTCGGACCCTCCTTCCCCACCGTCCTCACTCCGATCTGCGCCTCCCAGGCCCACCCCCAGCAGCCGCTGCTTCTTCACCTGATCCGCCTTCCGCACCGGCCTACCCTCCTCATCCAAGTCGTTATCTTCCTCGTCGACGTCGTGGAGCTGCTGAGAACTCGGCAGATGAGGAGCATGTGCGGGACGAGGAGCGTTACCTGCGACAGGTTCCGGCATGTGACCGCCACTGTCCAGATACAGCTCTAAAGCTCGTTCAACATTCCCGCTTCCCGCGTCCAGAAAGTTCTGAGCCACATGAGGGTCGACACCGTCCCCAGCCACCATCAGAAACCTGTCCAGCCCGCTTTGGTCTGGCTGTGGGTCTGCCATAACAGGCGTTTTTTGGTGCTGCTATGCGCGTTGCCTTGTGAATTCAAGCCCCCCGAAATGCTTTATGTCAGCTCAGGATGCCTCGCCGCGCTTTGATCTGTGCTCTTTCTCACTTCTTCCCTTATAGTCGTCCGGGAAATTTGTGTTTCTTGAGTGAAGTAATTGAATGATGGCGTGATACGGGACATCATCTCGAGAAAAGAGTTGTTCCTCCCTAGTCACGGCCAGTCTCGGCGACGCAGCACACTCTGGAGGGAGGCCGAGAGATACTACGAGCGAGGTCACGCGGGGAACTAGGGACGAATCTTTGCCAAGCAAGGGTGGCAACCCTGCCATGTATCCTCTTGTGGAGGACCACTGATGACACAGGGGGTCACAATATAGGATCAATGGATGCAGGAAGCAGTCAAGCCGATATGCATTCCGGGCAAAGCAGGGCGCTGAAGACCCTCCGACCTCCCCTCCCTCTGATTACGCTCGTCTCATATATTCCACATTAGTGACGCTACAGACATTCATCATCAGCCATGGTGGCCGCCACGCTCGACCGCAACATTTGGATCTGCGCGAGTGGTAAGATTCCCCACTTTCTGTCTCATGCTCCAGCATGCCCTCGACTCATCCTCGTTCTTGAAATAATCAACAGACGGGGATTTGAGCGGCGTGAAGGAGTTCCTGGATGACGGGGGCTTGGACGTTAATTCAGCGGACGAGTTTGGATATACGTGCCTGCATGCCGCATCGTCTTATGGGCACGTGGAACTCATTCAGTTTTTGGTGGGGCGAGGCGGGGATGTAGACATGCGCGACCCAGATGGCGACACCCCCTTACATGTATGTGAAGACGTAGCTGCAGCAGAGGCCTTGGTCACACACGGTGCAGATCCACAGGCTCGCAACAACCAAGGTAAGCGGCCCCATGATGTAGCGCTGGAAGAGGGACATGTGGCGGTGGCCGGCTACCTGCGTCCTTTGTGCGGATTACCTCCCTTAAGTACAGAGCAGATGCAAAGGGCAATGGTGGCCGTCGATCAAGCGAGCAATGATGTGGAGAATGGCGGAGATGTATGTGCTGAGAATTGTACGGCAACTTTGGCAGACTTGGAGGCATTCATAGCGAGTTCGGGGCGGGAGGAGGAGGGCAAGGAAGCGGACGATAAGGAGTCCGAAGACGCGATGGAGGAGACTAACATGGCCGAATAACCCGTATCGGCATGTAGCCTGTGTAGATACTAATGTGTAATAGCGTTTGGACGATGATATATGAACACATTTTGAACCCACACTGCCAAAAAATGAGCGCGTCATACGACAGCAGAAGACGACCAACATCATCGCAGCATGGGCATGAGTTGTTGGAATATCTTGACTTATGTTGTCTGATTTAAAGTTGAGAGTTGAATCCTGCTTTGAATCGGGGGTGCTTTGGATATAATCCATGAGACACTCGTGTACCACCACCAGCCCCAGCTGGGGATACCTATAATCACAAGAGCTTTAACGGCCACTGTGCAAGGCAGCAAATATCCATGTGGGGCTTTATAATATCACTCTTAACTGGACTCCCGTGTTTGTATGAGAAATGGGTGACTGCCGCCATCACAGTCTCCTTTGAATTCCTTCAACAAAGAAATAGCAAATTTAGGAACGTCTTAACGTAGACTATTTCATCTATGCGAAAAGCCTCTGACATTCATCTTCACCCTTCTTGTTCAAATCATTTTAAGTTTAGTAGCTGAGGTAAAGGTCGTAACACCACATAGTACTTCCCCAGTATTAGGGCACGCGACAATGTAATGGACAGGAGTTAAGAAACTACGTTGCTTTAAGAAAAGAAGTTGCACCTTAAATTTAAGGAACATTGCGAGATAAGTCGAATAGGCGGATGCATGAGAGAGAAGGGACGTAAGGAGTGCATGCGTAGCTGAGCCTTTCCTTTCTCATACCCGGATCGAAGACCGTTTACGAGCCGTAGATTTCTCGTTTTGCATCCTGTCCTCCCCTTTGTTCCTCAATACCGCAGCTGAGTTGGCCTCAGATACCTGTGCAAATTTTCTACACAATTGTTAAAGGTGTCGGTACTTTGGCCGGAGTAGAGTCGAGGACTTACATTAGTCTTCACAGCCAGTAGCTTTAATCGTGAAACTCGCTCGTCTCCGGCTGTGGATCGGTGGCACAAGGCACACGTACTCGTACCAGTCGAACCTACCATCCGGTTGTTCACGTGTTTGATGGTCTTGATCGCGACAGTATGTCTGCATGGTAATACGGTTGCAAGATCTCTCTGGTCCGAGTTTGATGGTATCTTTTCGAGTAGTCAGCCCTGTGTCGCTCTGACCTCCCCTCTCAACCCTACTCGCTGGCCCAGACCTTACTCTGTTATAATTAGTGACGACGTACGCCCGTTGCGAATAAGACTTTGATAACCACACCAGCAAATGGTACTACTGACGTGTATTTTTCACTCATAAATATGTTGCTGTACACTATGAATCCGCTTACAGAACCATTTCGCTGCCGAATCATGGCGCCTATCGGGAATAAGCCTACTCACAAGGGCAAGGCGGTCTTGGCAGGCGGGCTCTCGGGGGCCTTTGAAATTTGCTGGTACGTTTACACCCGGCAACTTGATGTGAGGTTTACTGTACCGGTTTTCGCGCATCACGTACCTCACCGCCATCCTCATTCTGCGTTGCGCTGGGCAGTACGTTCCCAACAGAGTATGTCAAGACGACGCAGCAGCTGAGCCCCAGACCTGTGTCTGTAAAACAAGTAATATCAGAGACGATGGCAGAGCGGGGCTTTTTCGGCTTCTACCGCGGGCTTTCCTCCATGCTGTACTTCGCGGCACCCAAGGCAGCAATCCGGTTCAGCTCCTTCGAGTTCTTCTCGGGCCTGCTCACTGACGCCAACGGAGGGGACAAGTACGGTCTGGGCCAAGCCAAAGGATTCCTGGCGGGGCTTGGCGCGGGAACCATGGAGGCAATCTTCGTGACCACACCGCAGGAGACCATTAAGATCAAGTTGATACACGACCAGGTCCGTCTAGGTCGCAGGAAGGGCTTTCCTTCGCGCCCCGCCCACGCCCGAATAGGAGCCTTACCTGACCCTTCTCGTCTTTCTTCACCGCATAGTTTCGCGGCACTAATAAGTACCAGGGATTCTTCCACGGTGTGAGGACCATCGTGGCGGAGGAGAAGCTCTCCGGGGTATACCGCGGCCTCCTCCCCACCATCTTGAAGGTAGGACCCTCTCCTTTGAGGCGAAATTATGACCGAGACAACACTGATAACCGCCACCCCGTCCCTTCTCTCACCTCGCTCGCTCCTTTAGGTCTCCACCGCGCAGGCCACGCGCTTCGGCATCTTCAGCGTCATCAAGGACTATGTCAAGCTGGACACCCCCATCAAAAGCGCGGCGGCTGGCGCCACGGCCGGGGGCATCTCCGTGCTCGCTTTCCAGGGCATTGACGTGGTGAAGAGCCGGATGCAAGGCCTGGAGGCGGCCAAGTACAAGAGCACCTGGGACTGCGTGGGACAGATCCTGAAGAACGAGGGCGTGGCCGGCTTTTATAAGGGGGTGGGGCCGCGGTTGACGCGCGTGTGCCTGGAGGTAGGCATCACGATGAGCATGTACGGGGAGATAGTGAAGCTCCTGGATGCGGTCTGGGACACCAACCCGCCCAAGGTGCCCATGGCCCAGTAGGGAGAAGGAAGAATGGATAAAGAAAGGGAGAGAGGGAGGGGAGGTGTTTGGGAAGCCCTTCATCCTGGAACGATATTTGGCGGATATGCTCGTTGGGCATACCTCCCTTTCGATCACATCATTCGGCCTTCAAGCGCTCGGCGAGATTCTGGCCACTAGACCTAGGGCCGCCGCTTGTTGGATGGGTGCAGAGGAGGGAAGGCGATGCTCAACCCCAGACATGATGGTTGGCGACTAGGGGGGCATTCTTGGAGGGGTGTGCATTCGCGACGGAAGCAGGGCGATTGAGTTGCGGGTGGGATGTAGGGCGTTGGATAGACTGAGCTCGGAAGCAGAGGACGCTAATGAATTTTGA